GGGGGGGGGGGGGAATTCAAGGGACTTTTTATTGTTCAGATTTGTCAAAGATGGATGGAAATTCTGTTGGTGTATCGAATACTGTACTGTACTGCACCGTGTCAATTGTGTGGATTGAAGTGGAAGAGTGAATGTGGTTTCCCGACAAGACATGGAGGCATGTTTGTGGTTGTTTCCAGTTCCGCCGTCGAAGGGGTCGTAAAATACTTGTAGGAGGAACATGGACATCCAATGGAGTCCACCAAGTGCGAAACAGCTATCGGGATTACAAAACATGAGAAATGCCTCCGTAGAAGAATGAGAAAGACGGTTGTCGGTGTATTGTACTGACCGTGACAGGTGCAGTTTGCAGTTCTAATGTTGTGACTTGTGACAGACCCTGAATGGGCTATTCCCACTGTGGGCCCGTGTCCAACCTACTTTGATCGGGTGTCTGTTTCGGGATTAGCTTTCTCTTCCATTCTCAGGGGTGCAGCAGACTGCCTGTTGTGGATCGGTTTTCCGGTGGGTTCGGCCACTGAAAGCCCCAAACCGGCTAGTGACATCTTGTTCCCAGTTTCACAATAACAGATCGACCCCGATTTGTCTACACAGTAGGTTTGGGTTGTGTGTGATTGGCCTTTTTGAGTTTGTGGTTGTTCGGGGTCCACACCTCCCCTCAGCCTGCTTTTTTCTTTTTTCTTTCCTACTTTTGGCGCATGCCAGTGGCTTCTGTTGATATTCTTTTTGCATTCCGCCGTGTCAATGTCCTGTTGTGGTTGTCCGGGTGTCGTGTGCCTCGTTTTATGGCATCGAGTGTTGTGCCGTGTTTTGGATTGAGGGAAAATCTGCAGTTGAAAAAGGGTGTATATCAGGAACGGGTGGCAGATGCAGGTTCATCCTATGTATTCTATGCACCTTTCAATTGACACCACCACATCTGTAACTCACGAATGGCTACACAACATGTGTGTCTTTTTTTTTCTTCAAGTTGTCAACGGTCAACGCTTCACTCTTTGGACTTGACCGCCCAAACCTTTTTTCGCAAACAAACGAACGGCTACTGCCAGCCAGCTGCCAACGGAATTGCGATCGTCACTGGGCATCCTCTTGAGTTTGTTCTACGTCACAGCCTCCGTGCCGGAATCCCGTTTCCACTCCCGGTCCCGTCGTATAGTACACTAGTTGTCTGTCCCTGATAGGTGCGTTAGTCGATTCAATAAACCCATCGTTCCTCTGCATCCGAGATTTCGATCGGATCCCAATCAACATCTTGGCAAGCTGCTTTTGGTTTATTTTGCCACTTTTGGATCCCTTTTGGAGGACCGGGTGGATCATCCGAAGCACCGGCTCCGATCCAATGTCTTTCTCACGTCTATCAGAGACTCTCGGTACGGGTCTGACGGGGAACTACTATGCTATACGGGGCCGTGATCCACGCCGTGTGTTGTTTGATTCCCGGTCGTCTCTTCTCAAAAAGAAAGCAACGCCGGAAAAGAGATCGGTTTTGGGGATTGAAAAAGAGATCTCAGGGAATTGCTAATCTCGGAGAGTTTGGAGTGGGAAAGGAAGACCCCTGATTTTTGTGAAGCGCTGTGGAGGCATGTGTTGGTTTGGGGGGGTTCGGGGATCCATCTCTGCATCTTCTCTCTGCGGATCTGTCAGGAACTGAAAAGCTGAGACGTGCTGGAGATCGTTCCAAGCATTTGCATTGGGGGATTTGATGCATTGCATTCTGGCCGGCTTGGCGTGAATCATAAGGGTTCTGTTAAGGGTTCTGTTAAGGGTTCCCATGATTTCTCTGCATCTCCAATTGCTGCTATTGTGGTGATGGTACATACTAACCTTAGCTAGTATGTCGTTGAAGCCGTGGCTTGCCGTCCCGTGTTGGGGCTGACTAGGGGACGCTATCAAGAGGTCGACATTTGGACATGACGTCAGCGTAGCCATCGTCAAGTTGGTCCAATCATTGGGTGCTAAGGAGAGGTGCGCTATCATCATCGCTTCAGTTCGCTTCCATTGGAATTGGTTGAAGACGCTCGGACCACTCACTTCATTGAGGTGACAGAGCCTCAAGGTCTCAATAACAGGAAAACAGACAGCCGGAAACAGAACCATATGGGTGAAATAGAGAAAAGCCCTTTGCATGGCATCGTGAAAGAACAAAAGGGAAATTTATCAATGGCTGACCAAATGAGCTCAATCGACTTGCCTTGGCAAGATTACAGCCTGTAACGTTCAACCAAGGCTTGAATGCGCTTCTAGGTGATTGTTACACGTAATGCTACTGTAACGGTTCAAGGATTGTTACAAGACAAGCTGCTGGTCATAGCTCCCAGTCCTCAACTCTCTCCACTTAATTTTCCCCGCGATAAGGTGTCACGATAACCTACCTCGGGGCCTCGATACCATTCGCTTGTCTCCCGCCATCATCAGACCACTCACTGACTGACACTTCCTCCAGCACTTAGTATCCCTAGCCCGGTCTGCGACGGAAATGCCTCCTTTCTAGACTTCGTATCCCTCAACACCTCAATTCGCCCACAATGAGACCGTCGCGACTGGCCATGCGGCCCTACACCTGTCTCCAATGCCTCACCAAAACACGACCTTCCACTCTCCGACCGCTTACACAAACACCGCGCATTGCTTCCCTCCACAACACCTCCCGATTAACGTCCGACTCTCTTGCTGCCTCTTCTCGACCAAGCATAGCCCCCAAGCCTGTCGTCGATATCAAGCACATCCGCCAAAACCCCGACCTCTACGCCCAAAACTGCATCGAGCGCAACTATCACCAACAAGCCACCTACCCACAGCGTATCAACGACCTCCACGCCCAATGGCAAGCCAAGCAGCGCGAGGCTCGTTCCCTCCGTGAGCGCTCCAACATCCTGCGCCGCCAGCTCACCGACCCGGGCTCCATCCGCGACGAAAACGCCGACACCATCGCCGCCGGCACCCAGCTCCTAACAAGAGACGAGCTCATCGCCGAGGCCCGCAAGCTTAAAGCCCTCCTCTCCACCATTGAAGCCGAAGAAACCCGCATCCTCTCCGAGATCGAGTCCCTGGCGCTATCCATTCCCAACCTCACCTCCGACGAATCCCCCCGGGGCCCCGAGCCCCAAGTTCTGTCCTTGATCAACGAACACCCCGAACCCGTCCCCTCGGCGTCCGACCGCGTCTGGCGCTCCCACGTGCACATCGGCAACGAGCTCGGCCTCCTCGACTTTGCTTCCGCCGGCACCACTTCGGGTTGGGGTTGGTACTTCCTCCTCGACGAAGCCGCGCAACTCGAACAAGCTTTGATCGGCTACGCCCTCGACCTGGCCGTGCGCTCCGGCTGGCGCCAAGTCTCTCCGCCATCAATAGTCTACTCGCACGTTGCCTCGGCCTGCGGTTTCCAGCCCCGCGACCAGAACGGCGAAACGCAGATCTACAGCCTGTCCCAGTCCGCCGATGACGCGGCGCGGGGTAAGCCCGAGCTCTCCATGGCCGGCACCTCCGAGATCCCGTTAGCAGGGATGCACGCCAACAAGACTCTTCTCTGCCCCGGCGACATCTCGGAATTTTCCCCGCTCAAATACGTCGCCGTGTCACGGTGCTACCGCGCCGAAGCCGGTTCGCGCGGGCTCGAGACAAAGGGATTGTACCGCGTGCACGAGTTCACAAAGGTGGAGCTTTTCGGGTGGACGTACCCTTCTCTCGATTCTGCCTCTGAAATATTCAACGAGATCGTCGACTTACAGACGGACCTCCTGTCGTCGTTGGGTCTACACTGCCGCGTGCTGGAGATGCCTACCCATGACCTTGGTGCCTCGGCAACACGCAAGATCGACATCGAGGCCTTTTTCCCCAGCAGGAGGGAACGGAATGAAGGGTGGGGCGAGGTGACGAGCGCGAGCATATGCACTGATTACCAGGCTAGAAGGCTGGCGACGAGGCTAAAGGGCGAAGATGGAAAGATGATTGAGGGCGGGTATCCCTTCACAGTGAACGGGACGGCCATGGCGGTGCCGAGAGTGGTGGCGGCGTTGTTGGAGAACGGGTGGGATGAGGAGACGGGGACGGTGTTCATTCCGGAGGTGTTGAGGGGGTGGATGGGTGGTAAGGAGAGGATTGGGCCAAAGCCAAAGACTAAGAAGGGGTTGGGGGTTGGTGTTTAGTAGACAGACAACTTAACTAAAGGGGATAAAGGCGTTCGTTCCACTTGGTGTTGTTGTTTGGAAGTTGGTGGTGTATGATAGACACGGTGTTTGTTGAACAGTTATTTCTTCTGGCAGCAAGGAAAAAGCATTGTTAATGGAGTATGGTTTATAGTTTACTTGCTTCTTATCTCCCCTCGTCCTCGTCCGCGTCCATCTAATCTCCCTTGCTACCCAGGCATAGCAGGCAGGCAGGCAAATTACGGTAAGTACTGTTGTGATGCCTCCGGCGGCCCCCGTCCGGGGGAAGGGACCTCGCTTCGCTCGAAGACTAGACGGGACTGGATGGATGGACTACATACGAGGGAGAGAGTATCGAGCACTACCTACATACCTAGGTATACATCGCACACATCACACACATCATACCTTATACATCATCATCATCACGCATCAAGAATGCTAGTTGTTTGTAGAAAATGTTTTAAATCTCTAGTAGTTACTCTCAGCTCCCTCCCTCCCATTACTTACCCCCCGCCATAAGAAAACAGAAAACAGAAAACAAGACAAGACAGAACACAATACAACAACAACAACAACAACAACACATACTACCGCTCCAAACGACATCATCGTGTTCAGCAACTGAACACAAAGGAGGAGCACATGACCTGGAGCACCTGCGATTGATATTGATCCAGTCCTCAAGCTTTCCATCAGAAGACATACCTTACCATAAACCTCAACATGGCAGCAAAAGAAGAAGCCTTGAAGAAAGTCTTTCGTGCCTGTGGCTTACCCCTCAATCCAGTTCCGCCTCCTGGGTGGGTGTCACCGACATGGAGTCACTTGTAGGGAGACTTTGTGTGGTTCATGTTTG